ATGGCAAATGATACTTTGAATATTACATGTTAATAACTTGATTGGAATTATAACCTTGAGTTGACAGTTTGATACTTTGAAAATTTTGAGCCAGCCCTAACCCCAAGGGCTGTAGGGTGGGGCCCAAAGGAGTCAGTGTGCTAAAATTTCTTCATTTTCCTTGTTTAGAATCAGAGGTGCTAGTTTCAAATACTTTTTAGTCTTAAATCTGTATGCTAGATATTGAATAAGGTGGTTTTATTGTTTTTTGTCACTGAATAATATTTCTGTTTGTGTTAAAAACAAAATCAACTCTCTTTATAAATATATAAGGTGACCGTTAAGGCCCATGGGCCTCTTGTTAAATTCTGTATTTATCATTTCAGACAGACTATAAGTATTCAGAAAAACATTACTATTCATTGCTGTCCAATGCTACAATGGCTGATGTTTTTGAAGAGAATGCCAAGTCAGTCGGGATAGCATTTGAACAGAAGCCAGAACTCATCAGGAAGTTTGGGGGATCCACAGACATGGGGAATGTATCACACATAGTCCCTAGCATCCACCCCAAGTTCTACATAGGAACCACGGCCAGTAATCATTCAAAAACCTTCACACAAGCTGCAGGTAGACACGTTATTAACTGATCAATTTAGACTTTGATTTTAGGTGAAGTTGGCCCTATATCAAAATGGAATGTTTACATTGAAAACACTTATTATGTATGATCTGTCAATCAAACAAAAATTTGGAAGGTTGATCAGTTAAGATGTAGCCTAATCTAATGAAGGTGTACATTAATATGTAGCCTAGTAAATGTAGACCTGTGATTTGTTTAGAAATAAATGGAAACCTACATATTCACTGAATCCTGAATAGAATTTCAGTTTCAGTATAATTGCGTTAATTCTGAAAATGCAAAAAGTTTTATTTCAATTTTACTTCTCTTGAACGTCAGGTGATCCGAAGGCCCAACCATACACACTGGCAATAGCCAAAGGCCTGGCTATGACTGCTCTGGACCTCTTCACTAAACCAGACCTTCTATCTACCATAAGGGCCGACTACCAGAGGGATGTCAGCGAACAAGCTTAAGTGGACATTCATAGGAAAACTACAGTACAACATGTGAATGACAGTGATATTTTGTACCTACCCAGATTATAACCTTACTGATGTGTGAAAAACCCTACTACAGTAAAAAACTAAAACAAATAGGGAGTGTCTGTGCTGTTAAATGCGTTCTTGTAGTTGGGATCTATTTTATACATTAGATACCACATAAAGTTAGCATTGGTATAGTTGATCAGGTCTACCAAGACTTGTGAATAGACATGTTTGTGTTTACATCATCAGAAAGATTCCGAGGACTTTCAGTGCAAGGAGAAAGGAGGCATACTACAGGTTGTGACATTGTACTTCCTTACCTAAATCTAGCTTAAATGGATTTCTGATTTTTGCCATCATTTGTTATGGCTTTGGTGTCTAATCTGATTTTTTTTTTAACCCACCATCATCAGATGATGGGCTATTCAAGCCACCTTTCGTCTGTGGGCCGTGGTCCATCCATCAATCTTGTTAGTGCTATTTCTCAGAAAGGACTGGAGAGATCTTTTTCAAACTTCACATCCAGGTTTCCCATGGTCCTTTGTTTTGCATATTGAATTTTGGGACTGATCGGATATCCAAGATGGCCGACAGGTGCCATCTTGAATTGTTAGAGTTAAAGCTTGTTAGCACTTTTCAGACAGTATAGGAGGGATCTTTATAAAATTTCACATGAAGATGTCCCATGGTCCCTAGATATGCATGTCAAATTTTGGGTCTTATTGGAAAACCAAGATGGTCGACAGGTGCCATCTTGATTGTTTAAATTTTTGATAGTGTTTGAATTTTTGATAGTGTTTGAATTTTTAATAGTGTGAATGTTTGTTATCACTATTTCTCAGGAAGAACTTGAGGGATCTTTCTCGAACTTGATATGTAGGTTCCCCTTGTTCTTGAGTTGTGCATGTTTACTTTTTAGATTGATCGGATAAGCAAAATTGCTGAAGGTGGCCACCTTGGATTTTGACAATATATTTGTTATCGCTATTTCTCAGGAAGTACTGAATAGATTGTTCTCAAAGTTACTGTATACATGACTTGGTCAAACAGATAAGAGAAAAGATCCAACTGACATAGAAGTAATGAAGATGGTACAGTGGTGGGCGCCAAGATCCTCCTGGGATATCTCGTTTGAAAACATATCCAAGAACACTGGACATTAGCATATGATGATGTAGGTTTGTGACTGTGGTCATTACATAAAAGTCACATGGTTGTTTTCTTATCAACAGCATCACTTGTCAGTGTATGAACGCAATTTGATCAGCCTCATTTCGAATTTTCTTCCCCGCCTTGAAAAACATGAGACAACTGCTAGAAGGAAACATTTTGATGGCGTTAGGCTGTTCCAGGAATCTCGTTTGCACTGACGTCATAAACACTTCAATATCGGAAATATAAGGAAATACCTGTATTAAGGTCAATAATTAGTAGACATTTAGAATGTAGATATAGAATTGAACAGCATTTTTTTCAATGTTCATACCGGTATGAACGCTAATCAGGTACATACACGAATTTTCCATGCAGCCCTAGCAGGCGGGCTTCATGGAATATGTATATAACCGATTTGCATTCATACCAGCATGACAATGAAAAAAAGTGCTATTCAATCCTTATATAGTTTAATGATATTTGGCATTGAGCATTCCTGAGCTAATTGATTACACCATTGCATAATTGAATGGATGATCTTTAATTATAGTTCTTTATTACCTACTATAGACTGGACAAAAGGAAAAGTAGAAATTCAAAATTAAAACTGCATGCTATATAAGTATATGTTTTTGCCGACTGATCAAAAAACCGAGATTGCTTGCATGTGATCCGTTCAGGATTGTTGTTTTGTTGGAATAAACTTGTTGATATCCAATATACTGAGGTCCATTTACTACTCTTATGTTTATAAAAATGCTCACCCCTGTTCTATATATAGATTAAACAAAACACCGAGGTCTAAATTTGGCCAGTACTTTCGCCACTTGGGGCTCTTCAGGCGATTTCAAGCACTAGCGAGATTTAGTCTTCGGTGTTCTGTTTTATTTATATTCTCCATCACATGGACGTTAAGCAATTTCTATCGCTATATATATATAATGAGATAGATGCTCGCGAAATTCAACAGGCCATCCGGATCCTCAGTCAGTAAAATCATTCTTGAGTCTAGGCCAGCCCTAACTCTGAATTGTCTGATAGTCTAGGCCAGCCCTAACTCTGAATTGTCTGATAGTCTAGGCCAGCCCTAACTCTGAATTGTCTGATAGTCTAGGCCAGCCCTAACTCTGAATTGTCTGATAGTCTAGGCCAGCCCTAACTCTGAATTGTCTGATAGTCTAGGCCAGCCCTAACTCTGAATTGTCTGATAGTCTAGGCCAGCCCTAACTCTGAATTGTCTGATAGTCTAGGCCAGCCCTAACTCTGAATTGTCTGATAGTCTAGGCCAGCCCTAACTCTGAATTGTCTGATAGTCTAGGCCAGCCCTAACTCTGAATTGTCTGATAGTCTAGGCCAGCCCTAACTCTGAATTGTCTGATAGTCTAGGCCAGCCCTAACTCTGAATTGTCTGATTGTCAACTGAATTGGCTGAATAACTTGATAAATTATTTTTTGGTTAGGAGTAGTTTCTGTATGTTACGCGAGTTGGAAAGTCGTGTCAATTTGTGTAAACAAGCCTTTCCTGACTCTATAAGCAATTCTTAGTAGAATGTTACCAGTCCAAATAGCTTTGACCGCATTTATGAAGAGCTAGGCATTTTTTCTGTATCAAGCACCCATCCTGCTCACGCCCTCTGTGTCGAAGTTTCTTAATTTTGTATCACAGATTACTGAAAAAAACGAGAGAGAACATTATAAATGGTAAAACTTTCAGCAAATTAGAAACTGCACAACTGAATGATTCATCACGGCACATGTGCTGGCAGATAATGATTATTGAGTGACTGAACTAGGCATTAAAACTGTATACAAAGGAAAGATAATTGGTGGGTGGCGTATATAGGATACCACACTCGCCTTTCACCAAGGCGGCCGGGGTTCGATTCTGAAGGGGTTATGCTCAATTACATAGCAATATTGAAGGCTGAATGACGTGTTTGCCACCTCTTGGTTGAGACAAGAAGACTAGTTTGATTATTTGATGTATATCAGAAGAATCTCGCGGTCGCATAACTGTAAATTTGGCTAGCTTTGAGGTTGGTGTCGCGCCTCTGTAATCTTTACAGGACGGGTATCCGCCTTGCAATTGGCCAGTTTATTATGCGAGACCAATCAAATAACTAACAGCGTGCCTTCAATTTTGCTATGACATATTCCAGGGGTGCAGAGAGCGTGAGCGTAACCCCTGGAATATCGAGGATGACCTGGTACCAGCATATCTAGCTCGTGGTTCAGGGTATTACCCTTCAAATCAACCCACCGAAAAACCAGGGCAAAATATGAACAAAGGAAATATTTAACTGGAGATCACTGAAAAAGTACAAGGAGAATAAATCAAGGTTAAAAGGACGAGGATAATAAGACCATGTGTTCCGGAAGAGTAAGCGTCTTCTATTTCACCGACGACACCCACCATGTAAATCAGGATCAAATCCAAGTAATGTCACGTCTTCTCATCGAAAACTCTGAGAGGGACAACAAATCCACAAGGCACTGAATTGAGCATAATAAGTAACATCGACCTTCCTATCACACAAGGAAATAGCATATTTTCCTGCAAGACCCTGATGACGATCATAAAATTTTTCCATACTCTTCATCAAGCGGCATCTTTGGAAACCTTGTGCTGTAAGTTTGTTCGTCAGCAATCTATCACGGAAGTATATATATTTGAAGCAAGCTCTTAAGAACAGCAAGCATTGAAAACACGCGCCACTTTAAGTTAGATATTGCCTTTAAAATCAGCAAATATAGACGCAAATGTTTAAAAAGTAACATCCCACCTCCTCCCCCAAGCTCACATCAAAATCTATTCCTTGAAGATTAAGTTAAGGCGCTTCTGAATATAATTATAATTTTCCAAGATTATTGCATGGTTCTAATGTGAATAATATAGTGTAGCATTGACACGACTCTGCCTATATATAACAAGGTCAGAATGACCTACTTACCAACTATGCTTATTTGGCGTCATTTTTATCATATGCAGCTCTAGTTTTGTACAATGTATCATAATTTTGACTAATGCTTAAAAAATAGCAGGTAGTTCAAAAATGGCCATTAGATTAAGGTTTCCCACTTTATCCCCTAATAGTTCATGTTGGGGGCATATTATATCGATAAACCATGGCTCGGGGGGAGGGGGAGGGGTATTTTGCTTTTCCATTTCTTGTCCTGGAGTTATGGCACTTCAACCTTCTTCTCCGGAAACCTTGCAAGCACAACTACTCCTTAACTGTTTGTTGAAACATTTGTCGCTTGGCACAGTTAAGTACATCACAAGTAGACGTGCAGGAAGAAAGGAATTTGTGATTTGACTATTTTCCCTGGAATTATGGCCCTTACAACTTTATTTTAGGAAAGTCTTTATGAGCTCGCTCAAAGTTTCTCTAGATTGATTATTTTGTCTATTATCTGTAGTTGATATTTGGACAGGATACACACCTTTATTTTCTATTTTTTTACTTATAAAATGTACCATATGTGTATGCTTGGCTAATATAGCTACTGTGTCTTTTCGTTTCAAGAAGAGATGTAGGTATTGCCTTATGATTTACAGTGCGTTATCATCATTGCTCTTCAAGTATGATATTTTGCCGTAGGCCCAACTTGGGAAGTATATCAAACTGATGGAACTGCTATCCTTTACTGTTTGAATTCTCTGATTATTGTGTGTATTTGATACTGTCCAGGGCAGAAATGGGATGAAGATATTCCCCCTAAATCCCATGTCACGTGAGGGACAACGCAATTGGAAAAGGAACCAATTATAGAATATATAAGTACGAACTTTGAACTCCCTCCGAAACTAGCCAAAGCGTATTGTAATTCTAGAACATGTAATACTAAGTTACCAATTGAAAGTGGTAGGTGGTTCAATGTACTACGTGAAAATAGATTGTGTAGTTTATGTTATTTAAGAGAAATTGGCGACGAATTTCATTATCTGTTTA